CAACGCAGCCGATATACAGAAGCTGACGTTGGCACCGTTGATGAAATCACTGCAGTTATCTGGCGACCTGTCGATAAAGTTTCCACGTGTTGTTGCCATACGGGAATGCCCCCCAAACCCATTGCCTGGGATGCTGACAGCTTCGTACAACCGAGCAGACGCTTACTCTTCCACACTCGATTTCCTAGTCCCTAAATGCAGTACCCGCTTTCATTATGCTGATAATAATAATAATAATAATAATATGTACTGTTCACGTCTTGTGAGGAACTACACCCATAGAGGTGTCAGGCCTTTACATGGGTTGTATACAGCTGTGCTGGTGATCCGATCTGTGCATACCCGAGGCGATTTATGAGGCTCGGAGTGTCGTGTTTACCGTCATTTGGAGGGTACAAGTGGGCTTCAAGGACACTGCAACCAGCCAGGGTCGCTTATATTGTTTTAACTTTCACCACTTTTTCTCGCTGGATGTTATCTTCCCTCTTTTGGAATAGTACACCTGGCGATTTTTCCCATGAGAATATCGTCATATTCATGCTGAAGCCGAAGTAACATCAGTTGCTTACGAAATATCATAGTGTTGGCTCACAACTTGGTTGGTATTGGAGACCTATTCCACGACACACATATCTGATTTGGAAGAAACCAGCTGGAAAGTTCGCCCTACTCTTAGAAAAACAAGAGTGCAATCTATACTATCTGAAAGTTCCCGGGTTGAATTGTGTTGCAATTATAACGTAGGCAAATTGGAACATTGTGGGGTTTCTTCATAGTAGTTTTCAAGTCAGCTACTCCTCCACATGCCCGGAAAGCCCCTGGCGGCCACTTTAGCCTGGCTGGCATTGTCTGTAGCGCATCCATCGTTTCCATCAAGGATTCAAACCCTAATCGTTTGCGGCTTGAACCACCAGCCAGCCGCTTATGTGATTAAGCCATGGGGTACAGCGTCAATCTTCATGAATTACAAGCTCGCTGCGATATGGTGCGTCTCTTCCTACACTGGCATGCAAACTACTGTAAAGGAACCGCCAACTATTTATATTAGAAATCCTAATGCTGAGTTACTTGGAATAGGTTAAATTGTGAACCTGATCGTCAGTATTATATAGTTATGTTGTAATGGTCGCACGCAATGCGGATCGAGCTAGGTTTGCTGGTAACTCTCTCGATAGTTCTTGGTGGAAATTTTGCCTGATAGACGCTTGGTGAGGGAGAGGGAGATATACTGTCAAGTTCCCTCACGTTATGGTTCTCCAGAACTGAATGCTTAAGGAATGTAATATGTTCAACTTTGGCTGGATTGGATGGATCTTGTTGGGTATATTATTCACAGATAATTTGGATCTATCCATTTGATAAGCGGTCTATCTAAAAGATCTGTAGATACAGGAATATCTGGTACCAAGCTCGTTGGCAGATATTTGTACTCAAAGGTCTTATTCGTTAAGTATAATATAACCTTTTACTATCGAACACCTGCGAAACATAATTCATTATTTTCACCGGAAATTTCTTCCCACACCTGTCACGCTATGTCCCAAGTAATTGAAGTTTATCTTGGATGAGTAATGGAACGAAAAAAGGAAGCCACACATATGTGGTAGAAATAAGCGGAATGGTGTTTAGCCGACCTACGCTCAATTGAAGAGAAGCCAAACCGTACAACGGACTTCAAGCGTAGTGCTACAAGAAATGGAAATTGAACGAACTACCTGCTGCTGAGGAACAACTGGCCTTAAACTCAATTGAAACCAATCCAAATGCTATGTTCGTAACTGTGTGTTGCACAAATCGATAAAGTGCTTCGACGCTGGCTCCACCCTGATATGTTTACACGCAGGTTCCCTGCGAAGCAAAACAGAATGAGCACAGACGGAGCGGCCCGACTCGCTTAGACTCCTCAGTCGTCTGGTGCACTTCGTACTTGCGAGGAAAGGAGGAACGCGTTTAGGGAAGCACATGTATTCCCCAAATAACCATTCAGTCAGCTGACCGAAAACCACCCCTACTTGTAAAGTAAGCCGTGCATTCAATGTTGAATTTAAGGAACACACTGTGTGGTTGGGTGGTGGAGATAGCCTGAGCTGGGGTGGAACTCAGAGCTCAGTAGTTCACGACGGACGCCCTAAACACTATGCTACTGAGATCTGCGAGCAACGTTTGGCAAGGCGGAATACAATTCAAACTTGAATTTAGCGAACATGCTGTGTAGTTGGGTTGCGACTTTCAACCTCTATTAAGACTTCAGTTCACTTTGAGGTCAACCTCGGTCATTCCGATCGCAAAGACCATATCCGGAATGGAAATATTTAGGTAGTACTCCTCCCAAGACTAGCACACCACGACCGCTGTTTCCTCCTGCTTTGAACTCAGCAGGTGGAGATAGCCTGAGCTGGGGTGGAACTCAAAGCCCAGTAGTTCACGGCTGACGCCCTGAACACTATGCTACTGGAATCCGTGAGTGAAGCTTGTGGTGCATCCACGAGGCGAGCCCATACTTCAGACAAACGCCAGATGAATTAGAGACCAATGGGAATAAACTCTTCCCATGCTGTTTCCAAGACGAGGACAGTATAATAAATATCCCACATCTTTTCTATGCGTACGATCTCTGTTATTTGCGAATGGCGCGGTCGTCTATGAGATAACGTAACCGACTGTACAGAAACACAAGCGAAATTGATGGCTTTACCAAAATTATCCATCATCTGCTTATCAGGTATTTGAGGACCACTGGTATCCAATGCAAGTAGAGGCTGCAACTAACCTCGTAGCAACGGATAGAGATATGGAACCTAGGTTACACATTACCACACTTCGACGCCCAACTTAAATATTGAGATTAACGAGCGATTGCCGCGATTTCTTGACTGGGTAGAGCTTAAAATCGTATGCTAAAACGTTTAGGAGTAGTCAGCACATAGTATCATCGGTTACCAAACGACCTGATCATGGTCTACAATATCTTGCACCTGTGCCGCTGTTTACTGCAACTTAGCAATATCACCCATCTAAGAGATCATTCCTCAAACTGCCAGCATCATGTAGCTACTTGGATGCCATTCTGGGAAACGTAACCCCCCCCCCCCCGGAGTAAATCATATCAGCACTGATACTAGCCATTTTTTAACAAGGTTGAGTGACGTAGCCAATCACCTACATGTTGTCATTTGGCAGTATAGATCACAGGAAAAATATCAGATTTATTATCAGTCACCTACTCGGGCAGGGAAAGCACGACCAGAGTGAAGCTACTGCGTTACTCTTAGATACAAACTACAGGTTTTGCTTTTGCCACTAGCAGAATTCACTATTTACATTTTTCAACGTTTTTTGCTCATGAGATCAATAAATATAGTAGGGCTTGTAAAGCAATATTTCTTCAATCACACTAAGTCACTGTTTATCGTACCCAATCTGCATTGTGCGGGGATCAGACAACCCGCCATCACACTGCCATTTAGATTGTGAGTTAATACCAAGTTCACCGTTTTGTGGAACCTGAAGGCGTATTGGTTTCAGCTTTAGTCTGTAGTACACATGCAAGAAGCGATGTCGACGATAGAGCACCTTCGAGGACCTAAGTGGGTACTGGTGATGGGACCTACCAATTGCGAGGCTGGCAAAAATGTCTCCTCCCAGTTTTAATATATGCAAAGGCATTAACCGGGCTCCTAGGTTTAAGTAAGCCTTTATTGCAACAATGTTGCTACTAAGTACCAAGCTTTCTCACTCTTAGATTAGTGGACGGTTGCTCGGGTCTCGCACCTAAGTTCTTGATTCCTGTCTGTCGGCATTATTTCCAAATGTTTGTTGTGCTTTTACATATATTTCGCCCAGGTAGCCGAGCTTTCACTAAGAACATTCATTGGTGCTCTTCCCCACATTGGCAGCCCATGACCGGTTTCGCCCTCGTTTGGACACATCAGGTGAAGACAGCCTGAGCTGAAATGGAACTCAGGGCGCAGGGGTGAGCGGCTGTCGCTGAATACTGACACTAAGCTCCATGCGCAACGCTTGGCACAGCGATAAGCAATTCCAAGTTGGATTTGGAGTACACGCCGTGTGGTTGGATTGCGACACGCAATCTCCATTCAGACTTCGGTTCACCTTGAAGTAGACCCTGGTCATTCGGATCAAAAGGATCGTATCCGAAATGGAAGGGTTTCGGTGTTGATCCTCCCAAGACCGCTCATGGTCAGTGTTATGAGGAGCAACCCCGTATCATCACAATTTCGGATACGTTCCTTGTGAGCGGAATGACCGAGATCTACTTCGAAGTGAACCGATGTCTCAATAGAGATTGTGAATCGTAACCCAACCACAAGGCGTGTACACCAAATACAACTTGGAAAACATTCGTTCTCACAACTTGGCGCAAACGAGTACAAACTCGCTTTATTTGGTGACACATGTACCGAACTAGATTTCGGAAGAAAATTACAGCAAAAAACAAGCAACCTTCCACAGCAAACTACGAAATGGTGCACTACCCGACAACCCCACGGACTGAATGCAAACATGGACTGAAGCAGCGCAGACCACCTCGACGGTGTGCACACGTTTCCATGCCTCCGCACAATTCGTTTGCGAACCATGCTCGTCAAATGCACCACCGCACAGCCGCTGCTATACCGTGGCAGGTGCACCCAATGCGAGTAGCCTTGAGAACTTGTTTTGCCAATCAGGATCCAGCACATCAGGACCTACCAGCTCTCTTAGCCCCAGCAGCCAATCGCGCAGGAGGTTCGACGAAGCCGTTGCAACCACGTCCACTCGAACGGACGCACATCCAAGCGCTCATGAAGGTGCAATTCGCATTTCGAGTTGGAGAGATGGTGGGCGCTTCGGTCCAGTGCTACATACACATTTCCTGACTTGCAATAGTGCCGTCATTCGCCACCTGCTGCGCCATTGGTTCTGTCATCGGAAGAAATGCATAAATCCCAGCACAGGTCGGCATCGCATTGGCTTTGTCGTGTTCGTTAGAGGTCGCGATGCCCTGTAAGTCATATGTCTTCGTTGTCTCCCTCAAAAGCTTTTTAGTCTTGCATGTTGCCACTAAGGCGCGCTGCTTTTCTGTCCTCAAGCTCGTTCCGGGAAGCAAACGGTTTACACGGATGGAAGCCGTACTGGTACCGGTCGCGCCGGCGCTGGAGTATTCTGGGGTCCACGCGACTCGAGGTAGGTCTTATTGTACATATGTGAACTTGCTAGAAACTTGTCAAATCAACTACCTGGAAAACAGACGGCTCTATCTGCCGAGATAAAAGTGAGTGAACCAATCTCAATGGCCTGGCCGCCTCCAATCTCGCAGCTTGTGCAATTTCTGCTGTGCTTACGCTTGCGCTAGCAAGCTTCACGTTGACGCACTCATGACGTTTTGTCTTTTCTCTGGCGCTCCTTGTCTACCATTTCAGGCCGCTGAAAAAGCCATACGTCAGGCCGAACGTTGTAATGTGTCCAAATTATGTGTTGCTACCGACTCTAAAGCGGTAGTCCATCATGCATCGGGCTCGAAAATGGCCGGTGTTTCGGCGCCCACACGTGATGCGATCAAGGGCTTGCAAGGAACGTTAGCGAAAACACCAGTGGAGGTTAGCTGGGTGAGTATGGTTCGATCTCGTGTGAACACCCACGCGTTCCCTCATTTCAGTCTGGTGGCGTAAATGTTTGTGGTTGCTTGTGACACAACGCTTGGACGCATGGACAATCAACGCCGCGAGTATTTGCGTTTATCGGCTTTGCGGAGAAGCCATCGCCGCGCACTCGAATCGAGATGGTTTTTGTTTATATTCGTCGTCCAAGCAACACATTGACCTCAGAGAGACTTCATGTGATCGTACGTTCTCTGTACGCGATTTTTCAGTGATCCGCAGGCAGGTGGAATGTTCAAGTTTTTTTTTACCGTCAGAGACTATGTGTCGCTTAACTACCTTGCTTCTCACCGCTATGTTTTACTACCTGAATTGTTCGGAATGAGGTTTTGTCAACTCCAAATATTTTCAGACTTGTCGTACTATCAAGGCCTTGTTGTCCCCTCGAAGGACCTGCTGTCCTCCCTGAAACTGACACCTGGTTTTTCCTTACACCCCATGTCCACAGTGGCAGTGTGTTAAGTCGTGCATCTTTAGTTAGCTCATCCTTGACCTACCATCTTCCTGACTTTGCTCTTTCAGAAGGTGGTCGAAGGACACTCGGGCATCCCTGGGAATGTGCGCGCGGACCATCTGGCAAAGGCGGGCGCGGGCATAGCCAAATGACGCGTGCATTTAGGTTGTCCTATTTTTACTGTGTTTTAATAGACATTTAGATTACTACCTGTGTTTTACTTGCTCCGTGTTAGGTCGTTGCGTCGGCTACACCCTAGTGCCATTTCTCCGTCCCCCTGCCTCTTGCCAATAGCCTGACGGAGGGCATAGATAAGTAAATCAGGCTTTTTTGCGCTGCGTTGCGGTGCATATAGCTAGACATGTCATTTGATGCGATCGGCACAGTATGCCTGGTGACCCAGTACTGTAGTGGTCGCCGTGACAATAAACCCTTGATCAGTTCTCTAAGGTAAGCAGACGTTTTGCTACCAATCGTGGTTACATCTTTATTACGTAGTGACGAGCTTGTTAGAAGGTACTGAGTCTCGGGCAAATATAGGAATGGATGTCGCGCGCTACAGCGCTGTTCTCTTGCTAACTTTCAAGCGTTCCTAGCCAAACTTTATTCTGACTGGCTTCACCTTCTAGCATTCTTGGATGCACAAGCGACTTCTGTTGGCTAGGGTGAAGCTTGCTGCGAAGTGCGACGTAGTCTTGCAATTGCACTGGTGCGAGGGCCATTTTGCTTACAGAACTTGGTTACGAGGGCTTCTCTCTTTCTTTTGCAGTCGATGGCTTGTATCGGTTCAAGCCACGGCTTCCAATCCTTCTTACCACAGGATAATAAAAATGATGATAATGCATATTCTCGGGTTTACTAAGACCTGCTATTTGTGGCATGGTGAATAGTTCACAGCTGTTTTGCATAGGACATACAGCTTATTCCAGGAAGCCAAGTATTGTTAACACTCATGAATGTCAAACTCAAGGCTCTGCATGGGCACAGTGCGATTGGTGGCATCCTGACGGTGAATCCCATGTAGGAACGGGACCTGAAGTTCGAACTTATAGGATGTAGCATCTACTAAAGGCTAAAAATTCTATGTAAACTGTGGTGTTCCAAAAACGAGTAATGAAAGACGGTATTTGTTTTTCCGTTCAGCATCTGTACATGTGCACAAATATACTGGATTGTAAGTTGAAAAGCAAACTACCGGAAAATCTCCTAGCTCCGTGTGGCCAACTGCTGTCCTCTGCAGTTTGTAACTTCATGGTAGTGGAGGATGGGCCAGGCTACATCGTAGTCGTCTGTCCGTTACGCAGATCCGCGGCCGTCACACATGGCTCAGTGGGACAAGCTGCTGGCATCCGGAAGTTATGGGGTCTGAACCCGGCTGGGGTCAGATGAAGGCGCACCACTGGTGAGACTCAGATCGAAACAGCGCTGTCCGGTGCTTTACCGAAGTTACACAAAAATCCCGACTACTCATTACTGATACCTTGCTAGAGTTTTAATTTTTCCGTCAATTGCATTCTTGAAGTTGTAGTAAAGGCCCTTGACGAAGACTTATTGTTCTGCACCACTGAGTGGCCGGTTGGATAGATATCTGACCCAGCTAGCATTGGTATCTCGGCATTTATGGCCGGGTAAGTTACACCATTTGTCCTATGGAGTAGACTACTTTCTCGCCTTTGCTTTTGCTGCTTTGTCATCTATCGCCAAGCTTAACTGTTCTGTCATTTATTAGCATACGATTTGGAGTCGGGTGGATCGGTGTTCAACCTTTGGTGCGTTTTGGCGTAATTCGTCCATTTTGGAAGAGCTGTGCGTGCAAAGCAACCGTTTTTCTATCACATTAGCCGCAGTGAATAATACGTGGTATAACCCTGGTGGCCGTGTGAACTGTGTCAAATGCCCGTGCGATATTAATTCCATAAGAAAACCACAGACAACCGAGAAATAGAACAGAGGTGTGTTACCAGCAAAACAGCAGTGAGTAACGAGTTTAAGTTCAGGTGATATTGGAGCAGTAGCGGTATCGCATACGTGTTCCTTTTTGATCGTGTCCTTGAGCCAGGAATTGTTGAGGTACTCTGAGCTCTTGTGGGATGTAGAAGGAAACACCTGGAGCACCGTGATCAACCAATTACTGACCACGTTTTTTACAATAGCTAAACATACTGTGGTAGTCACATTAAGTATGCAAGGAGTAGGAATAGAAATCGAAGGTCCAAATTAAGTTGTGTCACTTGTAATGTTGAGAATAATATCCATGCTTGTGTAGAAGTACAGAAAAGAAAATCGAAGCATTAAACCTGTAGTTATTCAGGAAAAGTGAGTGGTTCCGTTTTGCCAACCATGAGCGTTAAGTTGACACTTAAATCCCTCGACCGTTGATTCCCAGCCGACAATTTTTGGAAGCATGTTCTAGCCCTAGATGACTAGGTGTGACCGCTGAATTTCCGTGATAATCCGACCGGACCGCAGTTTGTCTAGATTTATGGAATGCCCACGGAGAACAGGCGATCTAGAGAGACTGAGTAGCCAAGGCAAATCTAGGCTAACCTTCACAGTTAAGATATGGTGGGGTAGGATTAGTTCACTTCTCAACTTTCGGTAATGCACTGAATGCATTGCAGAACTAAGTAGATGCTCGGGTAGTTCGTCTCCTTAACCTCTTAAGCAAACCAGTAAAACTCTCCAGCTCCAGTATGTCCCAGACGTTGAAACATTGTATTTAATGGGAATAAAAGCGTAAGCTTTACATGACCCACACGGTAAAACCAAGTTAGGGTCGGGTCTAATGAAAGGCCAAGCAACCTTTTAGCGGCTTGGACTCGCCTGTTAGCAGTATATTCCTCGGGCTTATGCGGCATTTAAACAGAATGCACGTCGGCTCAAAGCGTGTCATCCCACCACGCCCTACGAAAAGGCTATGGAAAGAACTAGGTAGAAGAGAAAAAGGAAGGAAGAGAAACTCCATCAAATAGAAGATAGTTGTTTCAGGGAATATCGCGCTGTAGCTTGGCCAGATTACACTCCAGGCGGGTCTTAAAGTCCACCACAATAGGTGTTGAGACTAAATTGGCACACAGAGCATTCAATGACTGGCAGATTCGCAAAGCGAAGAAGTGCCGACTGCAGTTCAGCTGACTGTGCTGTTGTGTGAACCTCAGTAGGTGGGAGCGCGAGTGGTGCAGTGTGACTTAGTGGCGGCAGGGAGGTCCAGAGTTGGATAAGATCATAAATACAAGGATCACGTCGCCCCGGAGACGTCGGTACTTAAGCCAGTAGAGGCTCAGACAGTGAAGTCGTTGTGGATAATCTAGGTGCTTGAGACTTCTGAGCAGTTTTGTTGCTCGACGTTGTGAGGCTTCTGGTACACGCTGTTCCTTCAGCAATCAGGCACTCTAAGCCTGAATAACAAACACCAAGTGGGGTCGAAGAAAAGCGTTGAGGTAGAGACGGAAATTGCTAAGATCAATTTGACCAGAGGCTCCTTTCAGCAATCCCACCATCCGGTTAGCAACACTAGCTGCTTTCCGGCAGGAAGTGGATACGGAAAGACTCGTCTGTGTACAGATACCCCAATCACTTTCGGCCGAGGAGATCCGGAAGATAGACGCTCCCAGGAAATATATAGAGGAAAATGCGGGGTGCCGGCTAGAAAGGACGCGATATTTCGAAGCGTCAACTGGAAGGTTGTTTTCTATGAACCACTGATGTCGATGGTCGAGATCCGTCTGAAGTGGGTGGGCATCGTCCGGAACATAACTTGTGCGCCACAGCTTCGCATCATCCGCGTATAGCAGCATTGAAGACCCCGCTTGCGGTGTGACGTCATCAATGAAGGCTAGGAAGGGGCCCGGTTCAAGAACAGACCTCTGTGGAGCTCCGCTTGTGGCAAAGATGCGGGCGTACAACGCTCTATTGACGCGTTTTTGGACGGTATGGTTTTGGAGGTAGTGCCGGATCCAGGCTATCAAGGACCCTGATACGTCCTAAACCAACAGTTTACGTAGTAGAGGTTGTGGCCGACCTTGTCGAAGGCTTTGGCAAAATCCAGGAATATGACCTGCGTTTCTAGACAATAGTCGGCAACAGTCCTCCAGAAATCCCTGGTATGTAATAGGTTACTCAGGCACGACTGTTGCCACCGGAAGCCATGCTGGCAATCGGAGAGCAGTTTCTGGGCCTCCATGTGGTCTATTAAAGCGTCTGCGATGATCGATTCCATCACCTTGGAGATGGTAGAGAGGAGGGTTACCGCTCGGTAATTGGCCGGGTCTTTGCCAGTGCTGTCATTGTAGATTGCTGTAATAGTCCCACATTGCCAAGCATTGGGACCTTGGTTTTGCGAGAAAAAGTGGGTCAACGGCTCCGCTAGGGGCAAACCTAGAGCTGTAGCGCACGCTCGCTGGAGCCTTAGGTGGAAACCATCAGCGCCAGGAGAGGCCGTTAGCCACAGGGATTTGACTTCCGCCAGACAATTCTCCGGAGTGAACTGAACAGTCGTCAAGGAAGTTGTGAGACCGAACGGGGTACTATCGTTCTATACATTGATGGAACGGAGAATATGCATGCTTACTGCTGGCACAGGACTTCTGCTACTACGTTCGCTGACTTTGCGAGCATTGTGGAGGTCGTCAGCGCGGTGTGGAAGACTGTTGACGTGACTATACAAGGCATTTGGATTGCATGGAAATTTACGCATAAGCTGACACTGACTCTCACTCGTATCTGCGTTCAAGATGGACGCATTGGTTACGGATGAATCGGTAATATTCTCACTGAGAAGCCGTTGGATGGGAGCAATAGTTTCTGCATGCCATGTCCCTGGATACAATCCACTTCCGTATCCGAATTCAGATGAGCGCTTCTCTTCCCTATGGAAACTTGTTTGCAGATCCTGGTAGTGGAGAAGAGCTCACGTAGAGTAAGGCAAAAGGTCGACCACTCGCTGTCGGCACTCGATTGGGGCTCGGGTGACCAGCTGTTGGCGAAAATGAATAGGTTCAACTTTCCGTAATCAAGCCAGGGCTTGGTATACGTCGTGCCGATGGGTATTTTGGCGATGCGCCTAAAGTCGACACGAAGGACGCAGTGGTCGCCGAGCCCCAGAGGGGCCGTATACTCAACATGCTCACCCATCATTTCTTCGTTAGTGAGG